CTTAACTTTGGAATAATAAACAAGGGCCTACGTGGAAGATTGGCCGTATATTAACAGGAAGCCGTATGTAGTACAGAGAACTGTTAACACTACAATACGTTTAAAAATTATCACGAGGATTAAACCTCTGGCCTGGAAGGCAACCAGCAACCGAGTAAAACTGCTAAGGCAAGCGGCCTGCTTCTACTAACTCCTTCCTCTCTCTCGCTTGGCAAAAAGCCACAACTTAAGTACTTGGCGTTCGCCAGACAAATTTGCATAAATAAGTTAAAGCTTTTAATTCTGGCCGGAAGTAGAAAATAAGAAGTGATAGTAAAGATTTAAAATAAAATAAATGTTAGTAAAACTTAAGATCCTTACAAACGTTTCTCATAAAGAATTGTGCAGCGCGTTCTGCGTTCGGCTATATGTCTTGGATCAAGACGACACTAAGTTTTTTCCTCTTTTTTAAGATTCAAATTAGCATTAATTACTTTGTTCAAAGTTGACACCGAGCACTTTAATGATTTTGGAATTGTCCTTTGATTTGACAGATTTTCTTTTACTTCGTATTAATTATCGTCTGCTATTTGAAAGTTTTGTTTTCGAGCAAATTGGCACTTTTAAAGAAACAATGGATGAAAGACTATGTTCATGCGCTTTCCGAATAAAATTCTTTGTACCTAGTTGTTAAAGAAAACGCTTTGAAAAATATTCCTTTCCGATATCTAAAGGGAATGTTATATGATAGGTATTACTGTCAACAAGAAAGGGGGGGAAAAAGTCACAGTGTGGCTTCAAGTGGAAAATGTTCCAAATACATGTCGAAGAAAAAAACGGAATATTTCGAATGCTGGAATGGTAACATCTCAAATGTTAAAATTGAATCCGCCAAGCCAAAGAACAGATGAAAAATTATTAAAATGGCTAGTATCAACTATAAACAAAGGGATTATTCTGATTTGAGTCGAAAAAAACATAATGTACATAGTGTTTTTCTACAACATATCGCAAAACGCGCTGCACAGTTCTTTGTGAGAAACATTTATCCGGACAAAACGGAAAAATGTTATCACAATATATGAATCTTGGGTACATTTAAATGACTGAAATAAAAAGGCATCCATTTATTACCATCAAAGACGAGAAAAGAAAACCTTAAACCATAGTTCAATGACTCTAAAGAAAGTTTTTCAGAGGGATTTATGGTTGTTCCTAGTTTTTTATATAACGGCAAATTAAAAATAAAGAGAGTAGAGAAAAGTGTTAAGACCAACTTCTCATATTATCACGAACGTACTTGATACCGAATTTTCACATTTGAAATAACTTCTCTTTACCTACAGTGTCATCAATCAATAGCATCAAAACATGAGTTTGCGTCAAAACAAGGCAGCCACAAAGTCCGCTCTTGGGTTCCAGAAAAAAATGGAACAAGAAACGTGTATAAAAGCCATACCCTTCCCTCATATCCCTACTAAATCTTCTGATGTATCAACCATTATCCAAACACCGTCTTACAACCTTCCTTGGACTTTGCAAAGCTGTTGAAGAGGAATGGGATAAAATAACTCTTCCGATACTATAAAAGGTGTCTTTAATTGTCTTGGAAACTACGGTGTAGAAAAATAGTGAAGAATAAAAGTTATCAAATAGAACATTTAAAACAGAAAAATTTTAAGTAAAATATTTCCGTAAATACAACGAATATTGTTTAAAAATTTTGCAAACAGCCTCTGCAAAACTAGGTTTTTGTTTCCTAGCTATTTGCTTATTGCCTTAGGGAAGCACATTCTCCTCGTTTTCATTGGTTAAAAAATCCTGCAAAGAAATAGCGTGTTTTAAAATCCAATCAGTGGAAAACCGTCTAATCCGATTTTCCCAAACAACGGTTTATGAAGTACAGTAACACGCCGAACAAAGATTATTCAACTTAAGGATCGTTTTAATCAAGTGCCAAGATAAATCATAGTAAAGATAAATACATTTCGCAACCGATGCCAAGATCATTTGTCTTTGCGTCTTTGAAGGTTCACGTTTTCTGCCGTAAATGTCTTGCGCGCACGCGTAAAACGCCGATGCGCATGCGTCAACGCGGCGCATGCGCAAAAAGATTTTAGCTTTTGAGGTCCGGATTATAGATTATTCCGGATTATGGATGTCCGAATTAACGACTTTTGACTGTAAGCTATAAAAACATATAGAGTCTCTTCGCTATAAAAACAGAGTTTGGATCCTTGAAATACATGCTAATTGGCCAAAAACACATGATTTGAACAAAATACACTGTAGTTTACTCATCGAAACAAAAGTTAAACTTACCACATAACTGCGCTAAGATCACTGTTTGGACACTTATTCATGATGACCTGTTAGTACTTAGGTGGTGACTTATGAAGTATTTAGATGGTCACCCATGAAGTACTCACCCAGGAAGTAATTAAGTGTTGACCTAGGAATAAGCAAGTGATGACCATAAAGTACTTAGGTGGTCAACCATGAAGTACTTAGGTAACCATCCACGAAATATTAAGTGGTGACCCATGAAGTAATAAAGTGGTCACGCATGAAGTAATTACGTGGTGATCCATGAAGCATTTATGTGGTCATCGAGAAAGCAGTTAAGTACTCACTCAGAAAACAGTTAAGTGTTGACCTAGGAACAAGTAAGTGATAAGTATAAAGTACTTAGGTGGTCACCCATAAAGTACTTAGGCAGTGACTCACGAAGTACTTAAGTAGTCACCCATGAAATATTACGTGGTGATCCATTATGTGGTCACCATTACGAGTGACCCACGATTTAGGTGGGCGCTCAGTGAAGTCCTTAGGTGGTCACCCGTGAAATAATTCATTGGTGAATCATGAAACCATTTAAGTTATGACCCGTGAAATACTTAAAGAGTTACCCATGAAGTTATAAGGTATTTCTCCCGCCTTCCTAGCGTGCCTTTGTGGTGTAGTGGTCAGCATACTGAGCCGGTATTCAGAGGTCCGTGGTTCGATTCCCGGCGAAGGCGTTGCTAATTTTTCATCTTGCCTGCTTCCAGTAAAAACCTAATGTCTCTAAGTGGCGCCCAAGCTAAAAGGGTGTTTCATGATGGAATTCTCTGCGCACCAGGATTTGGCGATTGGGTCCCTAAAAACCCAGTCGCCCTTTCAAAAGGGGAGTATATAAGGTATTTCTCCCACCGTCTTAGCGTGCCTTCGTGGTGTAGTGGTCGGCACACTGAGCCGGTATTCAGAGGTCCGTGGTTCGATTCCCGGCGAAGGCGTTGCTAACCTTTCATCTTGCCTGCTTCCTAAATACTTAATGTCTCTACAAAGTACTTAATTGGTCACCCACTTAAATACTGAGCACGCATTGAGTTGTTTTGGTAGCCTTTGCGGATCGGCCCTGTAATTATGGCCAGATTTCTGACCTGCATGAAAAATATTTGCCATTCGCTGAGAATGCCGACTTCATCTCAACCGCTCTCTCCTAAATCTTTATACACTAAAACCCATCATCCTAGATCAATATTATTCCTCATATTATTAGTACAAGAAACTGTTCATAAAATATCTCATGTGGACAGCTTATGACTTCCATGTACGGCCTATTAAATTATATACAAGGTGGTTACAATGAAAACATCCCTAATCTGAGCTCTCTATACATCAAACTACTGAGTGTAACGGCTCCAAAATTGTTGAACATACTAGTGAAGACATGGGGAAACGGATTACGTGAAAAAAATTACTTCCAGAAACACCGATAGGTGGCGATGTGCAACAGAAAATATGCTGAAAAGGCGCAAATAATCACGCCCCCCCAAAAAAAAACAGACATGAGGTATGGAAATATTCTTTTTTAATTTCTATTGCTGATATGAGAAAAAAGAACACAAAAAAGTTAAGAAACTTAAACTGTCATTGTAACTGCAATTTCGCTCTCTGGCCTTCTCGTTCTCCAGATCTTAATCCACGTGATTTTTGGATGTGGGGTTACTTAAAAAATCTTGTTTATCGACGACGTCTGGTAACTTTGGCAGATTTGAAAGACAGTATCATTCTGCATGTGAGAGGCATCTCAATCGACCAATTACGGTCCGCAGTTGAACAAGCTGTCCACAGACTGCAGATTTTACATCTTGAAGAAGGAAACCACATTGAACAGCTTCCCTTGCATCGATAAGGTCTTTGTGATATAAATGTTTGGTATGGTCGAATAAAATGTGTTATAAAGTGTACTTTGTGTCTTTTCAGCATATGTTCTGTTGTATAGCGCCACCTATCGGTGTTTTTGGAACTAATTTTTTTCACGTAATTCGTTTTCTCATGTCTTGAATAGTATGTTGAACAATTTTGGAGGAAGACCAATATACATAAAAACTCAGAATATCTTCATTAAAAATTATAAAATACAGAAAAACGTAAAACACCGAATACAGTTCATAAGAGTTATTTTTTTATTTTATTATTATTATTATTATTATTATTATTATTATTATTATATTTTTTTTTTTGCTATTAAAATTAAAGTTTATGCGCAAAACAAGAATTCCACGAACGGGCAGGAAGACAAAACTGAAAATTAACTTTCGATGACGGTGGGCAAAAAGACTCTGAAGTTGGTGCACCAACTTACTTCATTCACTATTCTACTAAAAGTTCCGAGAGTAAACAAATGACTGTCTCGTTAGGCTTAGCGGCATTCATACTTTTAAATTGCTGATAATGCTACAATTATTGCGTGCAGATTAACCAAAGACATAAAAACCTTAACTGGAACATAATAACAACATAATTCAATCATTTTTAAAGAAAAAACAAATATATATATTTACAGTATACATATATATATATACAATTTATACAAAATTTTAACGTTCTACGGTTAATCTTTTGAGCTACGCGAGATTTGTACATAGCAAAGCGCTCCTTTTAGCAGTATAAGTTGATGTTATATTAATTCAATATAATGTTTCGCATTGTTCGAATGTTCCTATTTATCCGCAAACTGTTTCTTCCCTTAACAGCTAGGAGTATTTCTGAAGAGTTTTCCTCGTCAAGCGATCTGAAGAGTAAAGATTATGATGAAAGTTCTCAGAAGGACAAAGATGAAGGTATGAGAATGTTCAGTATAAATTTCTGTTTGCTTAGATATGCATGCTAAATTGTAGAATGCACAAATGTAGATGCTTTAAATTTTGAGAGTAGAAAAAATTTTCACTTCTTTTTACAGTATGCTTCTTGTTTAATAAAAAAACTTCCAAATGTTGTTTCTCAAAATTCTTATATATGTTTTTTCTGCCCGACAAAGAAACTATAAAAGTATTCGATGGAAATGGCTCGATGAAGAGTAGAATGTTTAGGACAATCACCGTGTCGAGAAACGCAACTAAAGAACAGATCATTGTAAGTACGAATAACATTTATATATATCAAAACATTTTATGTTTTGTATAGATTTCTAATTAAAAAGTGTAATAATAATTGTTAAAGTAGTTGTAGTTCTTAGATTTTTTAACTTAAATAGCAATTTTAATAAATTTCAGTCCAAAATTGTTTAATATTATAGTGCTGTAACTGTTCTTCTATAAACGCAAACGCCGGCTAGCTCTAAAATGGATTCATTAACAGAGCATAGGAACAGTTACATAGAAAATACACATCAGAACAGAACATTTGCTAAAACGAAACACCGAACATTTAGAATTAACATTTAAAACTAAAAGTTAGAAATTACTGAGACATAATAGTGAAGAACTTATACTCATCGTAGTTGGAGGTCGACTGACTGCATGTCGCTCACTTCGCTTCTAGATGGCGTTCGATAAAATAGTTCGCTTACAGTCAAAAAGTTCTCTTACAGTGCATTTAAGTGAAAGCTCCTAGAAATTTTTAAATACAGTTAAACTCCTGGAGTTTACAGTTAAACTCCTGGAGATACAGTTAAAAGCTGTGTACACATTATAAAACGATTGCGGAGCCTTTGATTAATGCTAAAAATGTAAAAGGTTTATTTTTTTAAAACATTCCGTCTGATAACCTTTCTTCTGGATTATAAGTCCGCATCATGATTTCCAAGATAGAAGGGCTTCTAGTAAAATTTCCAAGTATATTGTTTTTTATTCCCCTTTCCCTACAATCCAGAGTCCATCAGTTGTGGTGGGTTTGCGATTAGAAAGAGCACATTTCAAAAGACCAAAGGTAAAATAGTCCACATGTGAAACTTGAAGGAATTTTGCAAGGTATATGTCATAGGTGGGGAACCTGCGGCCTCCGCGAGGTTCTTGTGCGGCCCTTTGCCACCTAGTACAAAATGGTAGAGTTCGTTTCAAACAATTATTGTACATCAACGCCATGACATTTGCGTGAAAAATCCCGCCAAAGACAGTCATATTGTAACATGACGTCAGAATACTAGTCTGAAACGGACTCTAACACGCACGAGCGAGGCTCTGGCACACAGATAGCAGCGACAACTACCTTGTCTAAGAAGTAAACAAAACTCGGTTTCAGATCTCCCCTTTGAGTGTCACACCTTGCTTTGGCTTCTCTGCCTCGCATCTCTCAACGCTTCCCTGTTGCAATCTTCAGCTAACTGTAGTTAACAGTGCGTGTTTATAACAGGTACACGGTTTTATTGTATTTATGGAAAGTACACACTTTGTTAAAGATATTATTGATATTCGTTTTTATCCATCATGTCAAATAGTAAGAGAAGAAAATTAGGTGATGAAAACAGAAACATTTAATGTAGAATGGGAGTTAGATTTTTTCTCTACTGCTGAGAAAGATAAAATGATGTGTTTGTTGTGCAATACAGTTTTAAATACTTTAAAAAAAGCGAATGCAAATAAACGCTATTTGACTCAACATAAATATTTCGCTTAGAAGGTGAATCACGAAAAGCTGCACTTCAAAAGTTGAAAAATGAGAAGCATCATCAGCAGGCATCTTTTAGTGCCTTTGTAAATCAAAATTCCGCTGCAAATATTTTTTATTGTATTTTTTATAATATTTTTATATTATTTTATATATATATTATATTTAAAATTTTGTAGTATTATATTTTATTTTTCTATATAATGCAATAAATTGTTAAATCTATAGAAAAACTATAATAATTTCACAAAAGTCACTTTCTTAGGTCAATCAGCTTATGCGGCCTCTCTTATTGCTGCCTAATTTAAACGTGGCCTCTAATGGTAAAAAGGTTCCCAACCACTGGTATATGTACACTGCGCAAAGAAAAAAGAGGAAAAAAATGAGATAGTTCTATATCTCCCGTTCTACTGGGTCGACTGACAAAATTCAAATAGCGTTTTTCATGCCTCCACAGCGCGACTTAAGATATATATTAGATTTATATATAGCATTATTCTAACATAGGCCGTTTGACACAAAATCGGACTTTTTCTGAAATGACATGCCAATGTTTTTCCATATTTCAATTCTACGACTCAAATTATGCGTAAATACAAAATTTTGTAAAACCTGGTGCGAAATTTACGGAGAAATTCAAAATTTTATCTTGGTGGATTTTTTTTTCAGTTTGCGCCAAGAATGATTTACTTCGCGAACTTCTTAATTTATAGCAACCTAATTTCCCTTTCCTGTTTTGCATTGCAGACGAGCGGAAAAATAGACATCTTTCATACTTTCAAATAATTTTAACGAAGTGCCTAAACCACATTTGCGTCATTATCCATTATAATAAGTACACGAAATTTCAAAACGCGCCAAAATGTAAATTCACGTCTATCTTAGGAAATTTTGAATAAAAACCTCTAATTTTTTGCAGGTATTCTTAGAAATACATCTACTTTAAGATGTGGGCAAAACTCTTATAGTTAAAATTCAAATTTTGTTTCGAAAAATTCATAAAAATTATTTAAAAATAAATCATAAAAATGTGAGAATTATATTTAGATTAAGCTTGAATTTCGAATTCTAGAAAAAGAAATCAAGTAAGTTTAAAAAAAAAGATATTAATAAATATATATCCAATTCAATTAACATTGAGGAGGTAAAACTTTGAGAGCTAATGTTTTAAAAACTACTCGTGTGATTTTAACAAAACTTAGCAGTTTGCCATAATTTGAGTCTTAGAATAGATATATGGAAATAAATTGGCATATTATTTCAGAAAAAGTCCCATTTTGTGTCAAAATACCTATGTTAGAATAATGCTATATATGAATCTAATATATATCCTAAGTCGCGCTTTCGAGACACAAAAAACGCAAATTTGAATTTCGTCAATCGGCCCAGTAAAACGGGAGATATAGAACTGCCCCCCTTTGTATCAGTGATCATTTTTTCAAGGAATGAAGTGGTACTTTTTACAGCAGTAAATAATGACTTTTATTTCCAAGAGTTCTATTACATCAAACTGTGCAGAAAATGCAGTAATTTTGCCAAAAATTCAGAAATTACGTCAAAATTGCATATAAAATTTGCCATTTAAAGCACTTTTTTTCAAAGTATGACGTGTTGCTTTGTCTTGATGAAGTTTCACTCTATGGAAAGTCATTGGGATAAAGAAATTGAATTCCTTCCGTAAATATTGGATGAAAAACTCTGCCTTGACAGTACGTTGAATTTCCCTACTCTTCTTAATTTTCATTTTCCTTTGCAAGAGAATCCGGCGACAATCATAAACCCCTTACTAAAACGTCCCTTGCATCGGCGGAACCAGCTTCGTACTTTTCCCCCTTTTGTTTTCGATAATAAATGAACCTTTTTTTTTTTGTTGCAGTCATTTAGGTATGTCCATGTTTCATCAAAAATCAAAAATATTTCCATTTATATTTTCCGAAGTAGTTTTCACATAAGATTCTGTTCGGAAAATGTTGGCGAACATTATGTTTTTAAGTTTTTTAATTCGTAAATCTTGGTTCATTATTTTATTTATTGTTGTAACAAGTGTACTTAAAGACTTTGCAGTTGAGTTTTGTCACTGGTGGATTTTCTATTCTTACTAATGGTTTAACTTTAGAAACATTAGGAACAAACAGTACGTACACTGGCGGGAAAAAAAAAAAAAAAGTTCTATATCTAGTTTTTACTGGGCCGAATTGACAAAATTCAAACTTGCGTTTCTCATGTCACGGGAAGCGTGACTTAGGATATATATTATAGATTTATATATAGCACTTGTTCTAACATAGGTATTTTGACACAAAATCGAACTTTTTCTGAAAAACACATACCAATTTTTTTACCATATTTCGATTCTACGACTCAAATAATGCCTAGAATATTAAATTTTGTAAGACTTTGGGGCGAAAGTTACGGAGAAATTCAATAATTTATCTTGGCGCAATTTTTTTCACTTTGCACCAAGAATAGTTCACTTGGCGAACTTCTTAATATATGGCAACCTATTTTCCTTTTCCTTTTTACATGTGCGTGAGGGGGAAAAAGTGACATCGTTATTTCCTACAAATAATGTTCTTTATATTATATTATGTTATTATTTTAAATACTTTTTCTTTCTTTTTCGAATTTCATTTTAATTGTTTAAGTTGCATGCTTTTTCTCTAACAACTGTTTTAAAAATTTCTGTTTATCCATTTGAACTGAGTAGTTTAAATAAAAGATGCATCGTTTATTTTTTTCAAATAGTTTTCTTTATATTTTTTTATCATAGTTATTATTTTAGGTAATTTTTAAATTTTTATACTTTTATTTTAATTGTTTGTGTTGGTCTCCTTCAGATAATTGTTTTAAAATTTTCTATTCATTCATTCGAACTGAGCATTTTAAATATATTTATTAATATAATATATTATTATAAATTTTCCAGAATTTGATTTTATTTATTTAAATTGCGTTTTCTTTCGGAAGAATACTTTGTGACCCAGACTACGATGCGTTTGAAAACTGCATATATTAATAGAGAAAATACAGTAAATCACAGTTAACACGCCTATCAATGTTCCATTCAAAAAAGATATATAAATAAGAGAGAGATATATCCGACATTTTAATTTAGGATGACTTGCATACATTGCTTTAAACAGTTTTATCATTGTGCCCATTGCTTTACACAATTTTATCATTCTATATTTAATTTCTTAAAATGTTATTCATATTGTTACGAATTTGGTATTTAAAAAGCTAATGTTAGTTCAATTATAAATTAAATGGTTTTATTTCTCGCGCAGTGCAGCGCGTGACGAATATTAAAAGAAAGCTAAGCCGGAAAATTGAAAATGCAAGAGCGCGTCCATTAAATAAATAAATATCTCTTTTTGATTTCGAGAAAGTACTGGAAAATTCTAGCGCGTGATTTTAAAATCTTATAAAAGGAGGAAAACATCTCAGTTCGTAGTAGTTGCTTAGTTTGTTGTTGTTTAGAAAACTGCTCTTGTTGATTGTAGCGAATTCGCGGATTAGCGTTCTTT